AAAACTTTACAAATTTCTCCTGAAACTGTGTTAAAAATAAAATAGGTGTTTCAAGCCCTGTAATATGAAGGCAGCTTGGAGTTACATGTTCCATATTCATAAAAATAAGCAATATTATCTGTCATAAGAAGATAGCCGCACAGAGTAATTTGTGTGGGACTGCAGCTCTTGTGGTGGGAAAAGCCTTAGCAAAATCACTGTCCAGGTAGATTAATAAATTCTTATGCTCAGGGTTAGACTAGATTAGACAGAATCAAGGTTATACATCTTGGTCTTGAGCAAGTCACTACAGAGCAAGAGCTTAGAAAATGTGATAAGCTTTTGTCTGCATTCCTAGCAGTTTGCTGCATTGGTATTCATCTGTTCATCTATTCCCTTTCAATATTTGTGCTGTGAGAGGACAAACGACTAGCAACTTCAAACAATGCATGACTGTCTGGGAACCTCCTGCCTACTCTGCTGCCACTGAAGTTTGGAGCAAGTTCAAAGAAAGATGCTGGGACCCACGCTGCCAGCAGAAGTTTTGCCTACAGACAGACGTCAGCGCTGCTAGGAAAGGAAAGGAAGGAAATAACCCATCCCAAACCACCCGTTGCTTAAATATTACAAACCTGAAATTGCCTGCCACAACCAGAGAAGCATCATTATGTCCTTTCAATCACTACAACATCTGCACTAATGATTCTTCCATCTGTGTCCTAGTCACAGTTCTTTTACCCGCAAACCAGTCTTCATGCACAACCACCGACAAGCCAGGTATTGCCAGTTTTCAGGCCAGAGATGAATACAAATCATGTTTTATTCCCCAACACTGTGAACCAAGGTCTGTGTCCTCCAGCCTGAACTTACTCACTGGTGCCATGGCAAATGCCAGCAAGTAAGCTTGGTGTATGAGAGACATGGATACACTTGTTCTGCCCAAATTAAAGGTGGGTTAACTCCTTCTACTACTCTTTATCCGCAGCTACAGCAGGGGGCCAACTCCTTATTTTTGTCACAAGCCCACACTCACACAAATATCCCAGCATCACCATTTCCAGACATCAGGAATCAAGCCTTTTAGCATCATCTATGTCACTTTACAAAGCTGCTAACAGGAGAATCACTAGTATAACTCATCCATAATCTGCAGTTTTCCTGACAAACTACACACACAGTTGCAAACTGACATAGCATGAATCAGGCCTCTACCTAGGAGAAGTCCCCTGCAGTAACGTGCCACAGGCTACTTGCAGATTCAAAACACCTGAATTGGAAAGGACAAGCTCTTTAGAGCTGAAAAGAGCTGACTATAAGCTTCATCTAAGCAGGAAATGAGCTTGTTTTGAGATTTGAAGTGATGCTAACCTTCCCCTTGTTTTTATTGTTATTCCACTGACACAAGGTCTCGGAAGCAGAGACAGGCTGAAATGAAAGACTCTGTCTGTGGTGAGGGTCTCATCAGGATGATTAGAAGCAGCCCTTTTGCTGCAACAAATAAAAATTAATGTTCTGATCTAAGCACTCAAAGTTAGGGAAATATAATCTCATAACTAATATTATTAAGAGAATTATAATTGTTAAAACTCTCATAATTTAATCCTCATTTCCACTGAATATTGAAAACTCTGAAATCTCTCCTTAAAAAAAAGCTTATTACCATCAGCACAGAAATCCTAAACACAAGAAGTCCTGTGATCTTCATACAAGATTTCCAGCTGAATAGGCTTGCCCAAAGATGGAGAAGGAGAAAAATACAAACTTTAGCCAATGCATCTGAAACATTTACACTTCAACTAGATTGTACACACTTTTTCCCCTCCTAGCGCCAATTTTCGTTCCCACATTTAACTTTCAGGTCTCAAAGACCTAATGCTTACACAGCAACTGCATACCAGCCTCTTTGAGGTCATGACCCATTCAAACCTCCAGCCACATTCTGACCCATATACGTTGTGCATTTTAAAACCAAGGCCATTTCCAAAACTTGGGATTCGAGGCTATACATATCAAGCAGCAGAATATGGCATTCAAGGAAGATCCAATAACTCCATTTATTGTATGTCTGTTAACCATGGTATGAATTCCTGTTCTTTATATTGTCACATTATAAGTGGGAAAGAACATTCTGAGGATGGCAGAAGGTGTCTAAAACACAATTAAAAATATTGGATATTTTTACTCCACTGATTATTCTCGGAATGCACAATTTACAGGCCCTGGTTAACAAGTGGAATAGAGTCACAGACTCAAAGAATCACAGAGTGGTTGAGGTTGGAAGGGACCTCTGGAGATCATCTAGTCCAACCCCCCTGCTCAAGTAGCATTACCTAGAGCAGGCTGCTCTGGACCCTGTCCAGATGGCTTTTGAGTATCTCCAAGAATGAAGACTCTACAACCTCTCCGGGCAACCTGTTCCAATGCTCTGTCCCCCTCACAGGAAAGAAGTTTTTCCTCATGTTCAGATGGAATTTCCTGTGCTGCAGTTTGTGCCTGTTGCCTCTTGTCTTGTCACTGGGCACCACGGAGAAGAGTCTAGCCCCATCCTCTTGACACCCTCCCTTTGGATATTTCAGATAAGATCCCCTCGCAGTCTTCTCTTCTCCAGGCTGAAGAGGCCCAGCTCTCTCAGCCTTTCTTCAGAGGAGACATGCTCCAGTCCCCTAATCATCTTTGTGGCCCTCCGCTGGACTCATTCCAGTAGCTCTGTATCTCTCTTGTCCTGGGGAGCCCAGAACTGGACACAGTACTCCAGGTGTGGCCTCACCAGGGCTGAGTAGAGGGGCAGGATCACCTCCCTCCACCTGCTGGCAACACTCTGCCTAATGCACCCCAGGAGACCATTGGCCGCCTTGGCCACAAGGGCACACTGCTGCCTCATGCTTAACTCATTGTCCACCAGCACTCCCAGGTCCTTCTCTGCAGAGCTGCTTTCCAGCAGAGAAAGTAGAGAGAGAGAAAATGGGCTTGACCTTCTACAGCTGATTTGTTCTGAGGGAGTAATTTGTCACTCTCTGTTCAGGTTAGAACTAGCCAAGCAGAGTCAACATATCTATCCAATAAAACAAGCATCCGTCACCAGAATACAAGATGGCAAACTGGAGAGCATGAGAGAGCATCATTCTGCAAAGGCAAATATCCAGTGAGGTCATAACTGGGATGTTACAACCGTAAACTGGACATAGAGATGGCCAAAAATCCAATCCCTCCCTAGTCATTAAGAATTTAACTTTCTTTAGCCACGAATGTCTGAATCACTCTGGTGACTCAAAGTGGAGCCTATCCCACCTCAGAGAGCACTAGTGAGTCAGACAGGATGAGATTAACATGCATCCTTTACTCCTGCCAGCACTCTTCTGTCTAGGCACAGCTGCCACCATCCCGTGTTCAGACACCACAGACATATACACACACCCCTAGCATTTCTTCTGCTCCTTGGGGAATTGGTCTTTTTTTTTTTTTTCTTTCCTCCTGGTATCTGACTGTGTTTCTTGTCAGCTGGGTAACTCATTATAAATCCCTACTGAGTGGAGTTACATGAATAATGGATTTTGTGGCTGAGCGGACAAACTGAAAAGCTGGGAATAAAAAAAAAAAAATCCTTTTTAGATCAATTCAAAGTGATACTATTTGGAGAGCTGGAACAAGATTTCAAAAATCAATTGTTCCAGATTGACCAAAACATCACATTCAACCAAAAGTGAAAGAAAAAAATCATTTAAGTTTGTGGCTGTTTAACCCTTTTCTGAAAACCTTTTTATTTAAGAGTGAGAGTGTTGATTTAAAGTTGAAATATTTCCTTTAGAAAGTATTTGTAAAAGAAACATTTGGACAGTTACAAAAGTGTTTTCCTTTTTGTTTTTGAATAAAACTATTTACCAAATGTATCTAACCCAAATCTGCAAGTCATCATCCCAAAACTGCACTTTTCAGCAAACATTCTTTCCTAAAAAAAGTTTCCATCTAAATCTTCATGTTTCCTTTATAGCACTTTTCTTTCATAAATCAGCACTGATAGCCAGAAAGACACCAGCCAAATATCTCCAGCAAGAAGGAGGCTCATCAGTTACTATGAATGGTTGAATAATACCCTGTATTTTCAAGCTCCTATTCATCCCGACTGTCTCTATTTTAGAGATCTCAATTTGAGGATATAGGAAGACTTTTCAGATCTGCTCAGAATTGTGACTGAAGTTTTGACTATACATCACCTCAAAAAACAGTCCAATCTTCCTTAAAATTTGGCACTGAAATATCAAGACACCTAACATTATTGCACATCTGTCAGGCAGTATAACAAGGTTAGCCAATTCCCATCTCATATTCCTCACCTCAGTTACAGCCTCTAACAGCTACCTGGCTTATAGCAGGTAGCTGCTTGAGTGGCTTCCTTTTGCATCTGCCCTACCCTTGCACAGGTGTGCCTGCCTCTTCCCACAGCGGGCAATAGGGAGTCTTTGGAGAGGGCCTTCTTCCTGTGTGGACCCCATGGCTCTCTCACATTGCCATCTGTCCCGTAGCAGCACCGCTTGGAAGTGCTTGATTCACAGCAGAGCCCATGCAGATAGCAACACCTGAAGCTAAGGCTGCCTGCCACTTCCCATTTCAGTTGGATATGATTTTGCGAAATGTCTTCTCTGCAATGTCTGACATTTTTGATTAAGTCTGTGCCCTCCACCTCCCAGCAAATGTCAAAGAGTAGGATGAGAAAACTTCTGAACAAAGGACGGATGTTTCTAATACTGCAAAAACAACTCTTCCCCTCCCCCACACCCCAGTTGTTATAAGAAGCTGGTGAATGCTTTTAGCTGAAAATTCAGCATGTAAGATGACTGGATTAAAATTTGTTGGTGTCATAAACAATTGAAAATGGTTTTAGAATGGTAAGAACCAGGCAACCTCAATGACGTGCATAGCTTGCTGCACCACCTTATAATAAAATATTACCTGGCATCAAATTAGCCAACTCATTTAAAAATTCAGGCTTCCTGGTCTTATTTTGCTGCTCCCCATGGTCTGCTCCTACGATCCAACTGCATCTGTGTATACTCTACCGCTGTTTTGCAGAATGGACTTATTACTCTTTGAATTATAGTCCCTTTAATCAAAGATAGAGATTTCTGCTTGGCCAGTTGCCATTTTCCTCTGCTTTTTGTTTCCATGACATGATCGCGATGGACCTGATATGCCATAACTAGGAACTTGTGTCATCATTTGCACTCTGACAAACTAGGCGAAAAATGCTACAGGTGCAGAAAAGTTGGTGCTTTACACATGGGCTGAGCAATCAGTTTGTGCAAGTGTCAGGGACTGCAGAAGGAACAGGGAAAAGGAAACCACATCTCTGTGATTATCATAAGCCCCAGGTGATTCAAAAGACTGTCAGTGATGACTGTCATTAGACGGTACTGAGGAAAAGAAAGAGAATTAGTAATTTGGGGAGGAAGTGCAAAGTGGGGGGAAAGAATAACACCAAGGAAGTAAAGCAGTAAAAAATCAGAGAGCAAGACAAAGAGAAGAAAACAACAGGGAAACAGAGAGAAATAAACATGAAAACAGGGGGAAAGAAT